GGCTGGCATGGGGCGCGGGGAGGGGGCCGAGTGGTGGCGGTGGGGGTGCTGGCCCCGTGCGCTCCTCAGCACCCGTCTCTCTCTTGGCTCCAGAGCACCGCGTGCGCTTCCAGGTGCAGCTGGCGGACGTGGAGGTGCAGGAGCGGGAGGACGCCGTGCTGGAGTGCCACGTGCCGCTGGAGACCATTCCCACCGCCTGGTACCTGGAGGACAAGGAGCTCCAGCCCAGCCCCAAGTACGTCATGGAGGAGCACGGCGTGCTGCGGCGCTTGACCATCCGCGACGCCCGCACCGACGACGACGGCATCTACCTCTGCCAGATGAAGGACAAGGGGCGCAGCGTTGCTGAGGTCTCCGTCCGAGGTGGGGGGCAGGCCCAGCTCCCCTAGCTCTACCTTCCCCCCTCCAGGCCAGGCAGCTCCCTGCTGCCCCCTGCATCTGCCCTCCCACTGTTTTGCCCGCACACCTCCACGTGCCTGCTGTTACCCCTCCTAGACTTCTTCTACCCCTCTCCTGCCCCTTGCTCCCTCCCCACCCCTCACCTGGCCCTTTTCTCAGGGGTGATCGTGAAGAGGTTGCCGCGGAAGCTGGACGTCATGGAGGGGGAGAACGCGGCTTTCTGCGTGGAGACGCGGGAGGCGGTGGAGGGGATCTGCTGGAGCCGGAACGGGCAGGAGCTGCAGGAGTCGTCCCACACCGTGCTGAAGAGCTTCGGCAGGACTCACCTCCTGGTGCTGGTGCACGTCACCCGGGAGGAGGCGGGCGTCATCTCCTTTGCGGTTGGGGAGTCTCAGACATCCTCCCAGCTCCGGGTCAAGTGTAAGCTCCTAAGGGACCCCATGTCCTCCCTCCTCCCCATTCACGGGTTGCTGACATGGAGGAGAGCCAGTATGGGCACCCACTGCACTGGGGATGTGACAGCTGTAATTGCTCTTTGGGGAATGAGGCTTTTAGCAGGGCCCTGGCCCCAGGGCCCCAGTCTTGCTGGTGCTCCACAACTTCCCATAGCAGGCAGCTTGGCACTATGCTGCACGAGTGCAAGGCCCCTGTTGAGCTGATGCTCTCCAAGCATGAGCAGCCTCTGCCATCAGAGAGAGGATCCTCGGTGGAAGAGGTTGCGCAGCCCCGTACTCACCCCTTTCCCTGCCTCGCTCCCCTGCTCGGAGCCTGGCTTGCAGTCTCCGAGGAGGAAATGCTGTCTGTGGGTTGCAGGTGTGAAGCGCGACCCTCCGAGCACCCCGGTGGCGGCCAGGATGAGCACGGAGCACAGTAACGCGGCACTGCTGACGTGGTGCCCTGCGCCCGACGTGCACCATCGCCCCCCCAGCAGCTACGTGCTGGAGCGGCAGGAGGTCAGCACCAGTGAGTGGGTGCATTGCCTCACCACCGACCTGGCCAGCCTGGTGGAGGTGCTGGGCGACAGCGTGCCCTGCGAGGCGGACTACCGTTTCCGTGTCTGTGCTGTCAACAAGTACGGCAGGAGCAGGCCCGTGGAGTTCCCCGGCTCCGTGCATCTTGGTGAGGGCTACAACTCCATCTGGGCCATGGGTCTTCCTTCGTCCCCCTCTGGGCCTCCCAGGCCGGGCTGAGACCTGGCTTTCCTTAGGAATCTGTTGGGATGGGCTGGACCAGCCCTTGACCTGCCTTCAGGACCAGCCTGTTGGCGCCAACTTTCCCAGCTGGTGGTCCTTGACCTTGTGAGCCAGCCTGCACAGAGCACTGCACTTAAATAACACACCCCAGACTGCTTCCAAGCTCTTCTTCCCGGGAGAGAATGGGATGGCCACTATGGCCTGGTCCTGGAGCTGCAGGGCAATTTTCCGCTGACACAGTCCAAGGGGATGGGTCCCAGATGCTCCTGGAGGCTGGATAGGGGCAGCAGGCAGCCAGGGTCAGCATGCTTCTGGGGTCTGCTGGCCCCTGGCACGTGCCATTGCTGTCTGGGGCTGAGTCCTGCCCTGCTCCAGTCCCGGCAGCTCGCCTGGAGAGAGGCCTGCAGGACGCGCGGGTGCGGGACGGTGAGGATGCGCACTTCTCCCTGGAGCTCTCTGCCTCGGTGCGGGGTGCCTGGTTCCTGAACGGCGTGAGGCTGGGCGATGAGGAGGCGGTAGGCGGCCGGTACTGCGTGCAGCACTGCAAAATGGAGCACTCCCTGCTGATCCGGGGAGTGCGGCTGGAGGAGAGCGGGGCCCAGGTCACCTTTGTGTCCAGCGGCATTCGGGACTCAGCCACGCTCCAGGTGCAAGGTGAGCAGGGCTGGGGTCTGGCAGGGAAGAGAGCAGCACGGGATGGAGGATGGCACATTGGTTGCAGTCACCCCTCCTGAGCTGTGGGTTGCCTGGGCTTTTTCCCATGTCCAGCACCCCCTCCTTAGAGTCACCTCAGGAGCAGGAGGTGGGCGAGTGGCCTCTGACGTGCTGTTGCCTCCCAGCCCCAGGTCAGGGAGTGCTGGCTTCCTGCAAGAAAGACTGGCTTTGCTCCTTTGAGCTGGACCTGCGGAGCACAAAGCACCTCTAAGCACTGTGGGCCGTAGAGGAGTTGTGCAGAACTTGGGCACCTGATTCCCTCCAGGGCTTGGAGTAAGGCTGTTCCTTATCTGCCCAGCCTGGCTGGGAGCCCTCTGCCCTCACGCCAAGGCACGGCTCCATTGCGTTGCGCTGTCCTGGTACCACAGCAGTGGCCCAGGAGCTCTTGTGCCTGTCGGCTCTGAGTCTCGACCAGGGATGTAACATGCACCCCTGGCCCGGGGTAGGGATGGGTTAACTACAGGTGATGCTGGGCAGAGCAGATACGGGGTGGTGAGCAGCACCGGGACAGCCTCTGGGCACCAGCACCCTGGGAGTGTCCAGCAGCACCCACTGCCAACGGGTTAGGGTGGCGATATTTCACACTGTCCTCATGCTCGTGCTGAGGTCCGACCAGCTGGGACTTGAGGGGCTCTCCCAGCTTGCCTGGCCAAGCGAGGGCCCGGACCCATTTCTTACCCCTCCACGATTACTCAGCCCAGCAGGTCCACATCGCCCCAGTGCCCGAGGCCCAGCGCCTCCGGAAGCAGCCGGCAGGGCTGCCCGTCCTCCCGGAGCCGGCCGGCAGGGCGGCCCGTCCTCCGGGAGTGCGAGGTGTCCCCTCCGGGCGCCCCCGTCCGCTGGGTCAAGGACGGGGAGGCCGTGCCCTTGGACGACGTTATTGCCGTGCAGGCGGAGGGCCATGTGCGGAGGCTGCTCATCCGCTCTGCTGGTCCCTCGGACAGCGGCATATACACGTGTGATGCCGGGGATGATGCTGTGAGCTTCGTGGTGACTGTGACTGGTGAGCTGGGGACTGTGTGTGGGAGCTTGGGCCCCATCTTCTGTAGCCGCATGAGCAGGAGCTGGCGGTCGGTAAAGCCCCCCAGCCCCTGCTTCCCAAACCTCGCAGCAGGCCCAGGGCAGGCATGTGCCCAGGAGACTCCTCTTCCCTTCCCGCTACCATCATGCCTTCTCTGCCTCTTTTCTTCGTGACTGTGACTGGTGAGCTGGGGACTGTGTGTGGGAGCTTGGGCCCCATCTTCTGTAGCCGCATGAGCAGGAGCTGGCGGTCGGTAAAGCCCCCCAGCCCCTGCTTCCCAAACCTCGCAGCAGGCCCAGGGCAGGCATGTGCCCAGGAGACTCCTCTTCCCTTCCCGCTACCATCATGCCTTCTCTGCCTCTTTTCTTCCCTTTTTTCCTCCAGTATCCATGTGCGGAGATGTTTGCCCCCTGCCTCCACGCACCTCCCT